AGCATAAGATAAACTAATGGAACCCTTCATATTTTCATGTGTGAGGAAGTAGTGTATATGTGTATTTTATATAATTCCTGTGGATCTGAGGTGTGGAGAGAGAAGATATAGAACTTCCCTAACTTGCCCCATTTTAACTAGAAGCCTACTTTCCATTCTCTATACAATCTAGTGTTTGGGAATGCTATAATACTTCATTATCACATATTATAACCATATTGATTTGCTAAAAACCTTTCCCAAATTCAATTTCCATTAAACTCCACTCATTGGCCCCAATTCAATCCTTTACACCTATACTGAATGCAGTATATCTAATTTGAAGATAACACTCAGGTTCTCCCTATTATTTCTCTTCTCCAGGCCAAACATACTCAATCACTTTAGAAAATTCATCACTAGGCATAGAGACCCTTCACCATTTTAGTTGCTACTTCCGGACATGGTTTTATATGCAAATGTGCTCACTGTGCCTTTTAAAGTGGGGCTCCAGAACTGGACAGGTGTAGGTTGTCTGACCATTACAGAGGCTAGTACGACCATTATCTCCCTTGTTCTGGGTATTGTATTTCTAAAAGCATAATCCAACATCCCCATATCATTCTGTAGACACATAGTGAGCTAAGAGTACAACCCTTTCCTTCTTTGTTATGTTCAGCCAATTCTCTCCCTCCTCTATTTTGTACTTGTGCACTGGTTGTGGGGAATCTCAAATCAGGACTTTATCAGCTGCCCCATTAGATGTCACGCTATGTTCAGGCAAAGGCTGTAGACAAGATCAGGAACGAGCACCCTCTATCACTAAGTAGCTCTGCTTCCCATCCCCCTGCCTCCACTACTTATGAACACACTTGGGGAGAAAGGGAATTCCATTCCTGGAAAGTTACTCAAATACGTTCACTGCCTCTGCAGAACTGTTGAATAGAGCCATCAACTTGGAAAATCTATTGTCTTCGAGTCTCTGACTCCTTGAAACATTCTTCCTGGTTGACCGAGTGTCATTTATCTCTGGAACACCCCTCCCTTCACTACTGAGACGTCAAAACCTATATTCAACTTACTGCACAAGCCTGATTATGTTTTCAACAAAATAATCATGCTTCTTTCTCTATTAGCACAAAATGCTCCACCCCTCTGAAGATCTTAGAGTGCTAACGATAAATCCTTACAGAAGGACTGCTGCAGGTCTTGCCAGTTTTCTCGGGGCACTCAGCACTCCAGCTGATACAGTGAAAGAGAACACACTCAGGTCAGATGGCAAGAATACTAATCAGAGCATCGCCCATCTTTGACAGTGACACTCACTGGAACAACCTACATTCTCAACAATAAAAGTAATAGCCCTTCCCTGCTGTCTTCAACAAAATCCTAAATTCAAATGTGGAGAGTATTATTATGTTCTCCTAAGGTTTAGCCAGGAGGAGAAAAGAGTAACATGATCTTAAGATGTAGAATATAAGGGGCGCCTGGGTGGCTCAGACGGTTAAGCATTTGCCTTGGACTCAGGTCATGATTCCAGGGTCCTGGGACTGAGGCCCTGCATCGGGCTCCCTGCTGCTTCTTCCTCTCCCTCTGTCATTCCCTCCACTTGTGCTGTCTGGCTCTCTCTGTCAAAGAAATAAAATCTTTAAAAAAAAAAAAAAGAATATAAGTTTATCTCCCAAGGAAAAGGTAGAGCAGTGTGTCCCAGAAGAATATTTCCCTGTTCAGATTTTCAAAACGTTGCTCCAAATTTAAACTTTGTCTTTTAACGCATAAAATTTTTAAAGATCACATTCAAGTTGGGTACTCAAAGACAAAATGAAATAATTATCTGATTAATTGAATTAGCTATTCTATATAATTAAGACTCCAGTACCTTTTCACGTCATTGTTTTTTGTTTGTTTTTTTTTTTAAGGTCATTCTCTGCATAATTTCCACGACCTTCCATTTCATCTTAGCTGAGAAATGTGTGATTTTGAAAAGAACCTTACGGATATAATATCAAAGATTTTCCTTCCACTGCTTTGGGGGAGGGGAGAACTTCTACCACTGCCTTTTAATTTTTCCCCACTGTCAGGGTTGTGCTTAAAGAGCCTATTAAACCATTTATTATATGTGAGAAGGGCACTGGAGGGATGATTGTTTCCACATTGCAACAACAAGGTAATCATAAATCTAAAAGGTTAACAAGAAAAATGAAATCAATTTTATACAAGTGAATCATGTTAAAAGAGTCAAAATGATATTTTACTTGCTAGTTATGAACCTGTTGATCTGATCCTATGCTTTGGAAAGAGTGAACTCAATATTGTGAAACAATGATGAGGACCACAGATTTCATTGCTTATTAAAACGTTTAGTATAAACCTTGATTTTGGCTGTCCACACATGTCAGCACATTTTGGCTGAAATTCAATATGAGATTATTTGGACAGTTCATTTTCCTTCTGTGTGATGGAAAAAAAATTTAATGCTTGGGCATAAAAACTGTTCTTATTATTAAAGAAAGAAGAAAATCTAGTAAGTGCCTTAAATAATAAAGAGTACTGTGCAGATACAAGCCTTATTAGCGTTCCTTAGTATCATGGTTATTTATGTAAAATTCTTTACTGACAGCATAAATCCATGATTTCATTATTATTTGCTGCTAATACGATGAACATTATAAACAAAAAAATAAAAAAATTCATTCCAGATTTATAACTAATGAGACACCAAAGTTTATTAAAAACTCTTGTGGCATCTCTCAAGCATTTTAAAATGCCAACTTCGGAAATGGAAACAAATAAGTACGGTGTTCTCTATGCTTGATCTGAGCTGTGCTGATTTACCCCATGTATGTTTTATTAAATAAAAAAAGATCAACATAGGACTTTATAAGCCTCTAGGGAGAGACGCCACAACTCACCAATGTTATGCCAAAGGCATGAAGTGCAAAGAACCGAGAGGCAGATGGAGGAAAATGAGTCTTGCTTGAAGTAATTTTTCAAGCAACTGAAAAGATGAAGTTCTCTAGGAAATGTCTTTAGAACTACTTTTATGTGCTCTATTGATCAAACTGGCCCAGGCATTAGTGCACCTTTTGGGTTTAGAGACTCTTACAAAAACACTGCTAAAAATGAATAAACATATACACGCATACATACATGAATGTCCACCTGTTACACAGGACTTTTTGTCCATTTCCACTTACCTGACCTACACTGCCAGAGGTTCTCTAAATGGAAGTCCAATATTCTATCAAGGTGGAGTGACCGAAACTAGGCGGGTGGGATCTCTTTCAATCTCTACCCTGGAGATGCAACACCAAAGATTTAATTCCAGAGATACCACTATGCCATAGTATCAGCTCTCTTGGACTTACGCTCCACTCTAGCAGCCTTTTCCTGATACTCTAATCCATGGTGACAAATGTATCCTTAATTTGCACAACACTTTTCACTTGCCCTCATAGGAGACCACCTTGAAGGAGCGAGTAAAAGGTTTAGTCATGGTTTCTATTTTTCTATTTGAATCAATACATTCTAGTTAAATGGACAATTAATAGGTCACTTCCAAAATAGTGGTGTATCAGTCCTGGTTAATAAACAATCCCCAGAGTTGACAATGGGCTCTATGTATTCAGCAAGTCCTGTATACACTCAGCTCATCCACTAAATCCCCTTTCAGGTGGACAGGGTTATACGGGAAGATGAGCTAGAATGAGTCTATAAAAGTCAGTTTCATTCACTGCTTTATTTTTCAGTCAAGTGCTTTAAATGGTGTCCAGAAATTCACTCGGAATGTGAGACAGGAGAAAAGATGGACACACAGAGCCTTGCTTTATGACCATACAAAAGGGCAACTGACCCTTGCCCAAGCCTTTTCCATGTGAAATGGCTCCTAAAGTTCATCTGCACAGTGAAAAATCGTGGTGAGGTCGCGTGTGGATGAGTCAAGTGAAAGTGACGATTGGTCACGGGTCTGTCACCCATTGTGGCTGGGCCCCTGCCATGTAAAGTGCTCTGTGGGAAAGTATCGGCCCCCTAAAGAGATGCTCAGAAGCCTGCAGCTCATTAAACGGCCAGCATTTGTTGCCTCGCTTGTCAGGAATCATTCTGTTGAGCAACTGCTCTCCTGAAACATTCATAAAACACATGAACAGAGAGGCAGCAGCGACCTGAATTCAACCGTGATAGAGCTCTGTACTTCAGCTTGACACAACTCGGATTTCACTTTTCGCCTGACAGAGGGGTTAACTTGAATAAATGTTTTCTCTTGGGCAGCTGAAATAAATGTGCCCCTTTACGGGACTTCTTTTTCATAAACTCAGATTCTCTGCCTACAGATTCTTATTTGACCTAGAAATCTCAAGATCAAGGTGAACTTAATTTCTTTTTAGTTTGACATTGTTTTCTTTGGGTGTGTGTGTGTGTGTGCGTGCACCCTCCGAAAGTTTTTCCAAGTTGTCGTTCTCACTTCAGCCCTAGACACTGTTTAAATTTTGTAATGTTCAAGGAGAAGTTCTCTTGAAAATATTTCCTACAACTCCGGTTGGTTTTCTTCAAGATCATAAAGAAGAGGTATTTATCTCCTTTTACAACCTGGACAATTTCAATTATTTTCTATGGACACCCAGTGACTTTCTGTGTCACATTTTAAGCTGAAAGAAATTTTACATAGCACTATTTCTTAGCCTTCCTTCCTTTCTTTTTTTCTTCTCTAAATGAGTATTGCTACACGTTTCAGAAAGAGCCAAACTGGTCCCTCTGAGATCTTTTATATCAAATGGAAAACAAGTTGCTTTCCTTGGTGTGTCAGCCCTGGGTTTCAATGCCATTAGAAACTGCTCACAATTGCTCAGTGTGCTGAGGTCTGATAAATCTCTGGAAACCTCCTGAATAGGATCGCTGTGATTTTTAGTGAGGATTTAGCTCCTTGCCATTGCATTACCAATTAGTTTTCCAGAGCACATTAAATCCTGCTGCTTTGGTTTACAGAATAACTGAGGCATTGCTGATGAAGCATAAAAACTTACTTGCAAAAGCAGTGGGGGATGCAGGGCGCCGACAGGACCCACCACAGCAAGCCGCGTAGAATGGCGGGGCGCTCAGGAAAAAAGGTTTGGAAGATGCTGCGGAGAAAGCGTTGATCTCATTGATGAGCCATTTCTTTCAGACAATATTCAAAATTCCATTTTCCCGAAAGTCACTGAGTAAAACACTTCATTTTCTGAGGCTTTACTTAACTAGTTATAACTTTTACTGAAATTAAAGTCATTCTAAAGTAGGCTTTATCTGCCAAAGAGATTGCCAAATAGTTTAATCAAGATTTGGAAGATATGTTGGAAAGACTCAATGGATCAAAACCAAACTTAATTTTCTGTGTGGTCATAATTATATGTAGCATGTGTTCCTTTATTTAAAATATCCCAGAGCGGGCGCCTGGGTGGCTCAGATGGTTGAGCGTCTGCCTTCGGCTCAGGTCATGGTCCCAGGGTCCTGGAATCAAGTCCCGCATCGGGCTCCCTGCTCCTTGGGAGCCTGCTTCTCCCTCTGCTTCTCTCTCTCTCTCTCTC